CAAAATGTGGTGTTTCAAAAACCCAGGCCATCCCAGGCCCCACAGCCACCTGCTCTCTAATAGTAAGGGTGCCCTTTTTCCTTATGGTCAGCTTTAATAAGGAGACCCCAAAATAAAAGGGGAAAAGTGTACTACTGGGGTACCTAGAAACCATGAACCCTAAAGCCTAAACATCGCCAAGGGGTTTGGAGGCTTAAGGTTCTTCTGGTCGAGACCACTCCTACGGTCACAGCCTGAATCCAAAAATCCTAATCTACCTCAAGCACAGCAGCGCCTACACTGTATCCCGTGTATTTTAGAATAATTTCCATTCCAACTTTAAGGCCGTTGTGGTATCATTCTCTATATAAACAACCATTTAGGGTGAGGTCGCTTTACATTGCCCTACGTACACGTATGGCCCTTTAACCACAGAACTACCTCGGCTTTCTCCAGTATTAACTTGCTGAGTAAGTCCGCCACATACCCCCAAGTAATCACCATAAACTCCTAAACTCCAAACTCAAACCCCTAAACCAAACCCTGAACTTCAGCCCCCTAAACCCTAAACCCTAAACCCTCGACAGAGTCCCCCAACTTGCTCTAGACAAGCTGCAGCTGGGCCCAGAGCTCCCGGACCTGATGAATATTGCCAGCCTCTGATCCGAAATGGGGCTGAAAAGGCGGCTACGGGGATTATGTAGGCTTTAGGGTTTAAGGATGTGGTTCTAGGGTTTAAGGATAAGGTTCTAAGGCTTAGGGGGTTTTACAGGGATTATATTGGGGCTTAAAATGGTTCTACAGAGGTTACGTAGGGGTTGTATACGGAGTCTCTCAAGTTGCAGGGTGTCGGTTTGTAGGTTTTACGGGTCTCGGGTTTAGGGTTTGAGGATTCGGGTGTAGGTGCTGTTTTTTTGGGGGGGAGAGGTGATACTTTTTGCAAAGATCCCCATTCGGTGAAAAATGCCCAAGGCTTACCAACTAGAACCTCTCGAACGCTAAGCCCTAAACCTGATGCAGGTTGAAGTTCAAACCTCAGTGCTTTTGAAGGAGTTAGAGATGCATTAAGGTTGGGCGATCAAGGGAGGCTTAGGGTTTATAGGGCTCAGGGTTCAGGGCAGGATGGGGCTGTCGGGAATATACCGTGCCTCCCATGTCGGGATACTCAGGGGCCTTCTCAAATTCATGAGCTCATTCTCGAGGCGCTTGTAACGAGATTTCTTATTTCTTGCTAGTAGAGGCCCAAGGAAATTCCATACCTTCCGCGCCCTGCGTGGATGATTACAACTGCGCTACTTTATCTTGAGCCTGAAGACTGGTTGCATCCTGAAACAGGAGTGTTGTTGATATCTTTTCTTGCAACTACGATTATCATCTTGGTTCCGCTATACGACACTTCTGAATTGGGGGGGTGGCTATCACTGCTGCCGCCCTTTCCACTCGTCGCATTTCTCCTACTGCGGGCCTCACCAAAGGCCTTGATCATGGCTCCGTAGATGGGAGCCGAGATGTTCCTCAGACAAGGACTTGTGGGGTTCTGCAGGGATTTTGTCAGGGAATTGCACTAGGGAAATTACTATAGTATATATATATATATAGAGGGGGGGGTTCATAGGGATAATGGAAAAGAAAATGGAAAACTACTATAAAATACAGGGGGTATATAGGCGTAATGGAAAAGAAAATGGAAACTACTAGGGGGGGCGGGGGACGCATGGATTGTGCCGTGGTATGCCCGGTTGCCTCCCAACCAATGTTCCGAATCCATATCATGCAGTTTAGGAAAGACATGCATGATTTTCATGCAGGGTACAGCCCTAAACCACAACATCAATCAAGATCATCATCTGTAAAGCCTGTAACGTAGATTCTAAGGGTTCAGGGTTTAGGGGAACCCTTAACCTAGGCCTTTCAAGCCTATGTTCTGAGAATGCCACGTGCCATCATGCCACATGAAGCTGTCCGATTGGAAGATCGGCAAACATGCTGCATAGGCTTCCCCAAACTGACATGGAACCCCGTTAACGGCCCCCTTTTTACAAGGACTGCAGTCTTCGTAAGGCCCTTTTGGGCGTGGGTCCAGGCAAGGCTTGGCGTTTAGGGGTACCGCGCACTTGGAGGTCCGTGGCAATTTACTAAGTAACTGCCCAATTACATCTACTGTAAGGCAATTGGATGTAAGGGAATCATAGTTGGGCTAAAACTACAGTTACGGGGGCCGGGGGATGTAATGAGTAACGTCCATACAGAGCATAAACACATGGCCGTCTTCTTCTACTGTTGCGACCACCAAGTAGAACACTAAGATTCCATCTGCCTGCGGCGATGTCTACGGTACTCCGCGCGACAAAGCCATGCTGGTACACTGGTACACAGTCGTATGAGCTGTAGTCTAAACTCCTCAAGGGGAATTATAGGGGATGACATGGGGGACTATTATGGGGGCTGTTAAGGGGGATACTAGGAGTTTAGACTACAGCTCGTGTGTTCTTGAGGTTACCAAACCGAATCAGGATGCCTCACATGCCTTGCATGGTTGCAATGTGCGCCTGTCGAACCTGGGTAGGGGGCCTGCAAAGAATACTCACCTTTCGAAGGAAACCTGAACGAGGTTCCATGTTAGCTTGGGGCTGGGTAAGCCTGAGCCTTAAATCCTGAGCCAAATTACACCCTAGAATAAACCCTACATCAAGCAGAGACTCTTGAAGAGGCCTTTCAGCTTGTACCGGCCGATAAAATCTGAGAGGCTGTCCAACCTCTTGATGCGGATGCAGGCCTTGGTAAGCATCAGGGTCCCGATTCAGGTCTCCGGGCTTAGGGTCCCTCAACCCTGAATCCCTCAGCCTAGACTCCCGAACCTAAGCCCGACACCCCCAAGCCTGAACCCTAAACCCTTAAGCCCTAAACTGGGTTCTGTTTTGGCACTCAGGCCTCGATGATGGATGAGAAGAGAACTTCATCGATTGGCTCCTCGTTCCACAGGGTTTGGGCTTCGGATTTTCTCCGCGTGTCTGGGACTTGTGCTTTGGGTATGGGGCCCTAAAACTTCGAATTAGGTTTGGGGGTACGTGGTATATACCAGGAATACCAACATGAGGAGTATGAGGAAGTGATGTGGAAATCTATATTAACGAGCCTCAGGGCTTCGGCCTCATAGTCCTGGACTTTGAGTAGAGCATGTGGGCTTGAGCCTCGAGACGATTATCGGGCCTATAGGGGTGTGGGGTTTAGGGCTGAGACTTCCGTATCTCACCTGGAACTACTGCACGTGGTGTATACAAGGGATTTCGCAAACCCACTTAGATTCCTCGTGAACACGAACAGAAAAGTATAAATCCTTAGAAGTGCATAATGTAGCAACCCCATTGCATGCAAAGACAAAGGCACCCCCAACCCCCCCTAAACCCTAAACCCTAAACCCCCAACCCCAATTTTCACAGAATACCCCAGTTGCCCCCTAGCTCCCTGAATCCAACGAGCCCACTCTGAACCCTAAACCCTACCATTAGGGTTAAGGATATATTATACTAGTTTCTATTTTCCTTTCCATTATCCCAATATAACCTCAATATAACCCCTATAATCCCTACAGTTTCCATTTTCTTTTCCATTCTCCCCAAAGTGTTTAGGGTTGAGGATCTAGGAGAGTTAGGCTCCTCGACACTGTCAATGAGGCTCATCACGCGTGCCTGTCAAGTTCCAGGACATTGGCTCCGTCAGATGTTGTAAAGTTGAAACCATGGGCCGTACTCTTTCTGGTCCCTAGAATCACACTAGGGGCCCATAGTTGTAACCTTAGAGATGTGCACAAAACATGAGCAGATCGCATATGACCTGGCAGCTCCGCCAATTCTACATACTCGGGGGTTTCCTAAAATTAGGGTGCAATTCTGGGGTCCCCATAGCAGGGAGTGTAGCATATTGGGGTCCATATTGGGGTCCATTGTTTTGGGAAACTACCATTCCTGGTCCTAAATTCCGCATGACGCTACGGTACCCTTCTGACTACCTAGAAGAAGTCATGCTTCTACAATATGTGGTAGTTTCCAAAGAAATATGGAAACCCCAGTATAAACCCCAAGAGACTATAAGCCTTAATATAGGGACCCCAGTAAAGGCATCCCTAATTTTGGGAAACCCCCATGTATCCCAGTCGCGGACCCAATCATCTAGAACAGCAACCTGAATACCTGAGCCCTCGCCCTGAAGCCTGACCTTTCAACACCGAGCTGCCAAATCTGTCTCAGCTGAGTGCTGCGTCAAAGACTTCAGGAGGATGGAGCACGTGATGAGGTTTGCCTGGCGGTTTTATAGGGTTTACGGGTTGGTCTTGAGTGACCCCCGCAAGTATATGTCGACAGACTGCGCGTCTGCTTCAGCAGGGAGCTGTTCAAATTGTGAATCCCCAAACTTCCAACAAAGATTCACTTTACCCGAAGGCATTTAACACCAAAGTTCAGAAGCCCAAAACCTAACCCCCTGAATATCCGAACGCTTAACCTCCTGCCTGGAGGTAAGGGGCTCAGTAAGTAGCTGAATTATGCAGATGTCTGGTGGCATTTGATCGCTCATAGACTTCTCAAGTATACATGTATAGGCACAAAGTTCAGACCCCACAAGCTCCCAAACCTTCTAGAAACCCCTTGCCTTGAGGCCGGCGGAGAGCATTTGATCCACGATGCTCCACATGCCCACACCTCAGATAAGCTTTAGGTTTTACCTTGACCGTACTCAACCCACCGTTTAAGGGCTGCGTCCGCCATTTACGTATGTGCAAAATCTAGTCCGCAGCGTCCAGGTAGGATCCTGAGAAGTTGTCAATATGTGTTCAGGTCGCGTTTCAGGAGGGTCCGTACACCAAGGATCTCATTTAGAAGAAGTATAGAGACCACAACGCAGGAAAATACCCACTTCGCAATGGGAGATGTCATATAGGTCCGAAATTCTGTCCAGTTTCCTTCAAGGTCTATTTGAGGTACCCTATGCCGTGATGATACAAGGGATCTAGGACGAAAGTTACGTAATTATCCCTACAAATCCCTGTTTCAAGCAGTGCTCATGTATTTTTCTGATTTTGTTTCGCTTAAGTCTCCATGCAGTGTACATACCCCACACACCCTTGTACATCCTTTGGGCCCACGCGCTCATGTAAGCTGATGAGTAAGACTCGCCCAAGCCTTACTTCGAGAACCGCCTGTCATAGTGTGGAAGCTACCAAGAACCCAAAACTACCCTTAAATGGGGCCTGTGTAGGTCCTGTTCGTGGTGACCGATTAAAGATCGTATCAACATGAGTTCTACTTACAGTTTCATCATGGCAGCGGTCCAGCAAAAACTAGAAAAAGAATGTACCCCAATGCACTGTAGTCCAGTCTGTGTTAAGGGTGCCAAAAAAAAAAGCCTCGGTTGTTTTTGGAAACTCGCATCTTGTGTTGCAGTATTGCACAAATTTGCAGCTTGGAAGCCCAAGCACTTGACTTTTCTGACATATGGGTGTGCTGAGGCTGACAGTGAACTGAAGCTGACGGTGAACAAAGCTGCACAAGCACATGTTTCAAACACCACATACAGACCAAACTCGCCCACAAGGAATGTAGCTGGCACTGCAACTAATGACCCCTAAACCCCAAACCCTAAACCGCTCGAGAAAATAGACAAGAACACTTAAATTTGAGAAGCCCGTGCGCCCCCAAGGGCAACCTCCGAACCCTCAACTTCCTGGTGCCCCTGCGGAATACACAGGCTTACCTGTGGAAAAGATAAACTACTATAATAGGATATATGTAGGGGCAATATAGGGATAATGGAACGGAAAATGGAAAATACTATAATGGGTTACATAGGGACTACTATAAGGATCCATTCCTTCATTCCTAGCTAACCAAGGTAAGTAGGGTTTAGGGTGTAGGGTTTAGTGCGAGAAACCCATTCATACTGCCGAAGGCACGATCTCGCGCGGATACTTTAGCATTCAAGAGCTCGTTGTACGTGACCTGTGTGCCCACAGTTTGACGTTCAAGAGGGAGTGTCGCTGAGTTTGCCTGTAAATGCGGGCCTAAACCCAAACAATACGACAAGAGCCAGATTTGGAGCCGCGTGGTATACCAGTTCAATTCAAGCACAATCAAGACATGAATGCTATGATTAGCCCTGTGCCCTATGCTCATAAGGGGGGAATTCTCAAAAAAGGGGCCTTTGCAAACCCTCAGGGACATATGGCGATTGCAAAAGGATCACAATGGTTCCTCTGAAGGATCATGTTGAGTGAGCTTTCAGATGCTGAGAAATGACTGATGTCCCCTTTCCTAGGATACTCGGTATTATGATGATGACTCGAACTTTTTCGCAAGTTACACTTGAAGTCAATAGGCTCCTTGCATTGTACCATATGGAGAAGGCTGTTGTAATGGTTAGTATCCAAAGCATTGGTATCATTCGTCTCCACGAGAGCCCGAAGCCCTTCACTGAACAAAGGCTGCGCTAACCGCATTAAGAAATCTGTATGACCTGAATTGGGGCATAGTCCCTGCTTCAGGGCTATCCATCAGTACGAGCATGAAAATGTTGAAGCCCCAAACAGTTAACCCGACACCCTGACCCCCAGTCAGTTCGATTACTGCAGCGGCCTGAACACGAGGAAGTTGGCATACATGAAACCTTTAACCCTGAACCGCTTAAACCCGAAACCTTGGCGCGAATATTCAGCCTGCCACAAAAATGAAGTGTTGTCGGCCTTGTTTGCCGCGAGGCCGCGCGAGCTCATCTCCTGCAACGGCATCTTGGCAATTCAGCAAACCCCGCAACTCGCAGTCTAGATCTCTCTCTCCCTCTTTAATCTTTCTCTATCCCCAAATATGTCCCTATGTATCCGCCCTCTATATATGGTGTGTATATATATATATATGTGTGTGTATACCTTTACATGCACTTATCTCTATATATCCTGTATCTGTTTACGTACCCACACATCTCTCAAATGCAACCTCACCTGGGAGTTTCCCAGAATCGTGTCTGGGTACATTTTACAATTTCTACAGAAGGATATAAGGGAACAATGCTTTTCATTATCTACGCGTCCCTACATTGTACACCAGAGAAACACCATTCACCATCCCAGTCTCCATTTAATTTTCCATTATCTCCATTTGATTCTCTATTTGCTCCCATTATATCCCTGCATACCCCAGGTATCCTCAATTTGGGACATGGCCTACGTTCCTCTTCCCTAACTGGAGCAAGTTCATCTAGAGACACGTTTGCAACACAAACCCCACCAGACCAGAGGGACCAAAATTATAATGAATTTAAGGAAATCTCCATATCATCCCTATGTAGACCTAGATTCCGTTCCATGCTCTATCCCCTAAATCGAGTGTAATATATGGAAATCCCCCCTAAACCCGAAACCCGAAATCCCACACCCTCAACCCTAAACCCTAAAGCCCTAAGCCCTACAAAGTCTATCACCCTATATAACCCACTATAGTCGTTTCCATGTTCTTTTCCATTACCCCTTTTTCACCCCTACTTTACCCATATCACTCCCAACCTGCACGAGATTGCGAGCTTCAGCAAGGCGGCCAGAGGCCAGGTAGCCCTACAACGGGATTATGGGGATGATGCAGAGATTCTATAGGGTTTGAGGTTTAGGGTGTAGGGGGACTATACAGGGATTCTATGGGGGGTTTAGGGGTTTAGGGAACTATACAGGGAGTCTATAGGGTTTAGGGTATAAGGGTTTTGGGTTTCAGGTTTAGTGTTTAAGGCGTAGGGGACTCTACAGGGATGCTATAGGGTGTAGGGTTCAGGGTGTAGGGGACCATAAAGGGATTTTGTAGGGTTTGGGTTTTAGGGTGTAGGATTTAGGCATTGGGGTTTAGGGCATTATACTGGGATTCTAAAGGGACTACCTAGGGGCTTCAAACAGGTTAACAGGATGTTATAGGGAGCGTAAGTACACGAAACCACCCCATGATCAGCTGAAATCAGGTCACAGCAACATGAGGAACTGAACTGGCAGCAGCAGATAACCGTTTGCTCACTGGTGCTTAAGCGGATGGGGAGACCCCCCCCAGTAAGACTTCTTTTTCTTCCCCCCTTAAGCAACAGCAAGCTCATGGAATTGCAGCCCTGACGATCCCACAGCTGAAGCCACCTTCAGGACAGTGTTGTAGCTGACCTCATCTGGGCTGCGGTTAAAGAGATTCAACTAGGTTACAATAATATAGACTAGATAAGAAATGAAGTTTAGTTGGGTTCTTTATTACAGTCAAACTCCTACAAACAGCAACCCTGTCGTTGCAGTGTGTACTGAGGGATGCATTGAAGTTTCTCAAAAGAGGGATTCCCTGAGGCACCCCTCAAAAGTGCAGAAGTTCTAGAGGATAACCCTTTCTAGCCCGATTAGGGAAACCAACACTATGTGGGGAGTGTTGGAGAATCTGTGGAGAGAATCCCATGTCCAGTGAAAGAGACATGGACACACTGGCATCCCTTTCTGAGTTGCTCACCACATCCACGAAGCCAAGCTGTTTCATCTCCTGGAAATATTTTGACATGGAGGAGTCTCAAGATTAAGGGTCCCCTTTTTGGGATGGGCACTTCTGACCTACAGGAGGATGTCGGCAATACCACATTTTGCACCGCACAGACATAGCGGCAGCTTCCCAAGAATCACGGGGGCCCCAAAACGCGCGGACATATGAGCCATAGTCTAAGCTCCTAGTATCCCCCTTAATAAACCCTAGAGTAGTCCCCTATAATTTCCCTATATATAACCCCCCTGAAGGAGTTTAGAATATAGCCCATATCATAGGAGGGAACTCCGATTGAGGGACTTATTTTCAGGTCCCCATAGTCTGGTCTGCATCATGTTGAGAGGCATGTTGGGAATCATCCTGATAAATACCAGCCATATTGGGGCTATATTAGGTTATATTGGGGTTCTCTTGGGGTTATATTGGGGTTATGGTGGGGTTATATGGAGATAATGGAAAATAAAATGGAAAACGCTATTTAGGTTTTATGGGTTTAGGGTTACCAGATTGAGGAGCCCAAGCAAGGACTGTTGTTCACAGGTACATGCAAGTGAAATGCCGTACAGCTGCATGGGCAGAGCGACGCCTCGAAAAGCGACAAGGCAGCATCAATATCGTTGCACTGGACGCAGGCGTCGAGGTAACCTGGGTGGGTGTTTCCCAAAACTAGGGGTACCTCTAAGGGGGAAATTAGGGGTTATATAGTTATATATAGGGCTTCGGGTTCCGATTAAGGTTTTTCGGGTCTATGTTGTGGTCCACCCTTTTGGGAGCTACCAGGTGAATCTTGAAGTCGGTCAGGTTGTTCGCATCCAGCTCTCAGAAGGGAAGATCGGCTATAAAAAGAGCCAAAGCCTCTTGCATCACAAATACAACAAGACCGCGCACTCCTTGTTTGAAATACTTGCGCATCAGTAACTGTTTTTCCTCCAAGAAAAAAACATCGTACATATATATATATATATATAATTATAGTATATCATATTACATATAGTAATTAGCGTTTCTCAAACTTGATGTCTCGGCTGTGGTCGCATCATGACGAACGAGTTGTCAGGTTGCTCGGGCAAGTTCAGGGTTTGGGCTTGACGACGTTCAGGGATTAGGGTTTAGGGTGCGAACTATGTAACACCCCAAGCCCAAATCCCTGAACTCTGATCCTTACGCTCAACAGCTCTCAGGTCGCAGCCCAAGGCCCTGAATTGAATTTGTGAAGTGCACTTAAAGTCAGCTAGCACCATATGAGAATCATTCCGTTCACGATATGATGTATCCATCTTTGCATCCTTCCTTAACAGCAACCCAGTAAATCTTTGCTGCCAGGTAGCAGTTGTAGATTTGAGAGCGCATGGTGACCCCGTTCTTCTTCAGGCGGTTGAAAACGGCAGTCACATTGGGCAGGTCCTGTGCGAGTTTCTTACCGAAGGCTTGCACCGCCGCCGCCGCTGCTGCTGCTGCAAGCCTCAAATACCCTGGAACAGAAGCCCTTCAACCGCCGCACACCACCTCATCCCTAAAATCTGAGTATGTCCGAGAATTGGAAACCCTGAGACATAAACCCTCAACCTTATTGTAGGACGTCCTTGTTCTTCACGTAGGCCTTGATGGTTGTTACCGCTCGTTGCATTTCCGCATTGCTGTCCTTGCTGTCCTGCTGGAAGACGCGGTTTAGGGTTTAAGCTTAGGGTGCGAGTCGTAAGCTGATTCCGCTACAAGCAGACCAGAGGCCAGAGGACCACAGCGGGGGTTGGGGGTTTATAGGTTACGCCTGATTTAGAACTTAGTAGATAGCCGCCATACCATGGGGGGGGGAGGAACGGGGGGGGCTCGCACGGGGTGACCCTATGTAGGGTTTAGGGATTGGGGCTACTAGGCAGTAAGGGAATATGTAGGGTTTATATAGGGTTTGGGGCTACTGGGGAATAAGGGAATATGTAGGGTTTAGGGTTTGGGGCTACTAGGCAATAAGGGAGTATGTAGGGTTTAGGGTTTGGGGGTTTGGGGCTACTAGGGAAGGGAAAATACGTAGGGTTTAGGGTTTGTGGCTAGTAGGGTATAAGGGAATATGTAGGGTTTAGGGTTTGGGGCTAATAGGGAATGAGGAAGTATGTAGGGCTTAGGGTCTGGGCGTTAGTAGGGAAGAAAGGAATATGTAGGGTTTAGGGTTTGGGCCATCAAGGAACAAGGGAATATGTAGGGTTTAGGGTTTGGGGCTACCAGGGAATAAGGGCTCATATAGGGTTTAGGGTTAGGGGCACACATATCTATATACATATATATATATATACACAGATAGATAGGGTTTAGGTTTTGGGTTCAGTAAGGAATAAGGGAATAAGCAGGGTGCGGGGTTAGTAGGGAATAAGGGACTACGTAGGGCTTAGGGTTTAGGATCTGGGGTTAGTAAGGAATAAGGGAATAATTTGTAGGGCTTAGGGTTTGGGGTTTGGAGCTAGTAGGGAATAAGGAAATATAATCCTTGAAAATGATCCCAATATGAGTACTGTATTCCCGTATTCCCCCACTAAGCACCAACAAGAGAAACTGATCTATTGGCACCACTCTGATTACTGCTGCGTTTGCTGCTGCTGATGATGATACTACTTCTGATTTGATTTTACTGCTACTCATTCTACCGATACTACTGATGCTACTGCTACTGCTGCTGCACCACCGTCTGCCGCAGCTTCCACTAGACGTGAATCCCCCCTGCAAATGTAGGCTCAAAAACTTTCAGGTCCCATCCAACTGTATGAACAGCCATGTCCTACCTTCTCATCCCAGTGATACTAGTTTCCTCTTGCAATGGATATAGCATCCTCAAGAAATTTCAACCTTACTCCATTTCAGGTCAACAGCAAGCTCACCATAGGCCCTGCTGAAATCATGTTCAATGTGCAATCCCTTACAAACCCTAAAGCTGAAAGTCTAAACCCCAGGATACGCTCTAAGTACCCACAGCAATCTTACAATCTCAGCCCTAGCACTGAGGAAGGCCTAGATCCTACGCCTCGAGCCCGGATGGTACGAGGCTCTACCTCTACCTAGCCACTCCATTTATATGCCCTAAATAGGGACCATATACCCGTGTTAAAGGGTACAATGAAGGTCCTGATAGAAAACCTGGGGGTAAGGTCCACTTATTTTGCTGAGCTTGCATTGCGAAGCAGTGTGAGAATTGCCAATCGCATTCGAGCGCAAAGCACTGCAATCCTGTTAGACGTTGCTCATGAAGGCCGGTCCAGGTGCGACTCCTTGGAGGCCATTCTTTCTTCTGTTCTTGACGGCCCACGCTTCAAGGCTAATAGGCGAGGAATGCATTAGCCTCGATGGTGGTCATTGAGTTGGGCATCTCGATGCACTCCAGACCGATGCAGGAGGCAAATGCTCCATGCTCGATTCTGATCGCAAACTCGTGATCTTAACATGCTTCAAGGCGCTACACCCTTCAAATGTAATTACCAGTCCCAATGGCGAAGTTGGGAATCTTGATGCCTTCCAGGGCAATGCAGGAGTCAAATGCTCCTCGTCCGATTCTGGTGGCAATCTCCGAGATCTCAACATGCTTCAAGGTGCTACAGTTCCGAAATGCAAAAGCCTGAATAGGAACCTTGATGCTTTTCAAGGCGATGCAGGAGCGGAATGCTCCCTCCTCAAAACTGGTCACGGAACGGGAGATCTCAACATGCTGCAAGGCGCTACACCCCTTAAATGTAAAAGCCTCAATGGCGGTCACTGAGTTAGGAATCTTGATGCTTTCCAACGCGATGCAGGAGCGGAATGCTCCCTCCTCAATACTGGTCACGGACTCGGAGATCTCAACATGCTGCAAGGCGCTGCACCCCTCAAATGTAAAAGCCTCAATGGCGGTCACTGAGTTAGGAATCTTGATGCTTTCCAAAGCGATGCAGGAGTGGAATGCTCCTGGTTTCATTCTGGTCACGGACTGGGAGATCTCAACATGCTTCAAGGCGATGCAGCGGTAAAACGCTTTAGCCTCAATGGTGGTCACCGAGTTAGGAATCTTGATGCTTTCCAACGCGATGCAGGAGCGGAATGCTCCCTCCTCAATACTGGTCACGGACTCGGAGATCTCAACATGCTGCAAGGCGCTGCAGCGGTAAAACGCATAAGCCTCAATGGTGGTCACCAAGTTGGGAATCTTGATGCCTTCCAGGGCAATGCAGGAGTCAAATGCTCCTCGTCCGATTCTGGTGGCAATCTCCGAGATCTCAACATGCTTCAAGGCGCTACAGCTCTGAAATGTAAAAGCCTCAATGGCGGTCACCGAGTTAGGAATCCTGATGCTTTCCAAGGCGATGCAGAAGCGAAATGCTAGCTCCTCAATTCTGGTCACGGACTCAGAGATCTCAACATGCTGCAAGGCGCTGCACCCCTCAAATGTACCAGTCCCAATGGCGGTCACTAAGTTGGGAATCTTGATGCTTTCCAAAGCGATGCAAGACTGAAATGCTTCTCGTCCGATTCTGGTCGCAATCTCCGAGATCTCAACATGCTGCAAGGCGCTACACCCCTCAAATGTAAAAGCCTCAATGGCGGTCACTGAGTTAGGAATCTTGATGCTTTCCAACGCGATGCAGGAGCGGAATGCTCCCTCCCCAATACTGGTCACGGACTCGGAGATCTCAACATGCTGCAAGGCGCTACACCCCTCAAATGTAAAAGCCTCAATGGCGGTCACTGAGTTAGGAATCTTGATGCTTTCCAACGCGATGCAGGAGCGGAATGCTCCCTCCTCAATTCTGGTCACGGACTGGGAGATCTCAACATGCTTTAAGGCACTGCAACCGTGAAAGGCATTTTCCTCAATGGTGGTCACTGAGTTAGGCAGACTGACCTGCCTCAGGGCACGGCAGCAGGCGAAGGCACTGGACTTGACTCCAGTCACTGACCCAGGGAACTCCACTTCCTGAAGCGTGTGACAGTTTGCAAAAGCGCCTTCACCAATTTCTGCTGTGCCGGCAGGGATTTCGACGAAAACCGCCTTCTGAGCTGGCCCCAGTGGCTTTGCTGCGGCTTGCATGACATGCTTGAAACGCACCACTGTGAACGCCTCAAGGCAGAGATCAACTTGTTTTCTTGTCCAAGACGCACCCTGCTATTGACCGCTAAACGAACCCCTTCATTAGTGGACTCTCCCCGAACTTTCATGGAAGATAGGTTGGGTCAAAGCTCTGCCTGAGGCTCCCAAATCTCCGTGTCGGGCGCCACCTCTTGAGCACTCTGAGTCACCAAGCGTGCACGGAAACCTGCTGGCAAGTTGAGAGCTTCATGACCCGAAATGTTTGCGACAGTCGTGCCCGGCTCCACCTGGATGTTTGTCAGCGATCCGTCCACACCTTGAAGGCTCACCTCGATCATGCTTGCCATGGCTCCTGAAGTTAGTTGAAGCCACTAGTTGGAATGTTTAAGAACAGCTGAGCTTGTGATGAGCAGCAAGGAAGGGTTTGAAACAACTTTCAGGACATGTCATCCCAATCTACTTGGGAAATTCCTGCATCGGACTTACATCCGGGCTGCGCTTGGCGTGACATTTTCGCGGCGAGAGACAGCCCGTTCCAAAGGCTTGTTTCGAGACACGAATGGCTACCAGGGGTCGTTCCAGTTACAGGTGGCAAGCGGGCAGCGGAGGAATCTGTGTGAGAAATAGCTTTAAAGAGCCACTGCATCCAAGGATACCATGCAAATGGCCTGCCAAAGAATCTTGAAGCTCGCCCTCCCCTTGAGGTCATAAGGGCTGTAGCCTAAGCTCCTAGCCTCCCCCTTAATGACCTCTACAACACTCCCCTATATTATAATCCCTTATGTATCCCCCTGTAAGGGGCTTAGACTATAGCCCATAAAAGCCTGTAGCGGAGTAAAGTAGATAAGATGACGGCCTGGAAGGTCAACATCACATGCTAGTTTCCCACAAGGAGAAACCCTATATAAGCCCAAATAAGGACACCACACTGCTCCTATAATATGAGCTACAGTCTAAACTCCTAGTATCCCTCTTAATAACCCCTGTAGTAGTCCCCTATATAACTCCCTATATTACCCCACTTTAAGGAGTTTAGACTATAGCTCATATAATCTCTATGTATGCCTAGGGTCCACCGAATACCCCTCTTCGAGTCCACTGATGCCAATCGAGAATACCACTCAGGCAGAACCTTCATTCTCTCCACTGCAACCCCTACCATACTGTCACCAGCAAGAATTGGACAAGGGTGTGGAATATGTCACCGTATGCAAGACCCAGGGATTGCAAGCAGATTGATATTGGGTCCGAGACCAGTTTATGCGTCTAGCTAATTTTAAGTGTATATATTGTACATGAACAGGCTTGGTAATCATTCAGGCTCCTATTCGGCTCCGATGCAGTTTAAGATTTGGCATTTACTGCCACCTCGGACTTCTATGCTGCCATGATATCCGTCTGTCGTCACTTGGCCCCTCGTAAATCCCGAACGAAGGCATGGAGCTCTTCGCAAAGCACTTGACCAACAAATCCCAGAATCAACCCCCACCCTAAACCCTAAGCTGAAGCCCAGACCTCAAAATTCCTCAGTCGGGGAGTTGTCCTTTGTACCCTTAGGGTTGCTTAGGGTTTGTACCCTTGGGTTTGGGGTCCCTAAACCATGGAAT